AGAAGCGGCGAATTCTGGGGTCTCCGGAAGGTGGTGAAAAATTCAGAAGGATGGTACGTAAAAAGGGGGATGGAAAGGGGCGTCGTACCAGAGGAAGAAATCTTGATGGGATCATATTTTGCAAAATTTTTTTCCTCCAACAGCAGCACGTCCTGTTCCAAGATGATAAGTTTCTTGGTAAATGAAGACGAATGATTGCCTAGCTCACTGAGCTCCACGTGTCCTCTCGTTGTGAAATTAGGCATCAAGCTGGAAACCATAGCTTCGCTGGTTTTTTTTGTTTTTTCCTCCACTTCTTAACTCAACTGCTTTTCAGTTGAACGGCGAAGACGTTACAACATTAACGATCGTATCAAAGAACTTGGATTGATGCTACCGAAATCGTCTGCAGAGTGAGTTTGGGTTTTTTCGTTTACCCAAGATGTATATAGCCGCCTCGGTTTGGAGGTTCAGAGTACTCTTCCTGAATGGGACCACTCGAAGCTAACAAATTGGTTTAGGGACTTGAAACTGAACAAGGGCACGATTTTGAAGGCGTCATGTGATTATATTCGACAATTACAACGAGACCGTGAGCTTATGTTGAAACAACAGGCTCATCAACAGAAGCTCGAGAATGCGGCCAAGCAATACGCGGAGCGCATTCGAGTGAGTTGGTGCCTTTAACCTAGCTGTTCTTGCTGGCCTTCCCAATCGGGAGTTGTTCAGGAACTGGAAGAGTGTATGGCTCGACAAGGTGTGCAACCTCCTCCGGCACATTTACCTCCGTTGCCTCGTCTGGCCAGTATTGATCGACCAATTAAGCAAGAGATGGACGAAACAGCCTCGCCAAATCAAACTCCTTGTGGCTCCCTTGTAAGTGTCAAATACTGAAGGTCTCTAAAAATGGTCGCTTTTCATGTGATTTTCAGTCCTCATCTGGGTTCATGTCACAATTATCCGACGGAACGGCAGCAATGCAAATCGCAAGTCCGCTTGGCAGACAACCAATGCAGGTAGCAACAAGCCACTCGGAGAGCTATTTTTCAGTTGGTTCAAGCAGTCCTACTGACTACGGTGAGTCGCAGCAATCACGTTGTTCCATCTATATCGGAATTGGGAAGGATGTCAATTTTTGGTCAGCTCGTTATGCATATAGTGGTTTTTTATTAGACAAAAATATGACGTGATATCCCAGTAGAGCCGCGGTCACCCCCTAATTTGTGAACGGCTGGCGATAGCTTAGCTAAAATCAGGGTGTAGTTGAGGTGATCCGAGTTGCGGCTTTGTAGACCTAGCTGGCTGGCTCGACAGAGCCCTTTGGCCAGGTCGGTCATGGTGATCCTATGCAATTTATTTGGCCCTCGCAAAGTTTGAAAATCATGAATTTCCTATTTACCATTTCGAGTTTTGAGGGTAACTGGCACCTCATTTTTATAATTCAGAGGCGCAGTTCGCTTTGGTGGAGGCACCCAATTTCTCTCAGTTGTTCTGTTCCTTACGAGGTTGATAGGTGGAGCATTTATGAAGTGAGTCTAACGTTTCGACCCAATCGTCGTCTTCAGAGGCCTGAACATGTTTCAAGTTTTAGATTCGCAACCTACCCCACCAAGCGCCTCGTCGAATCTAGCGGTTCCGACGTAGGGTCAGGAACCCTCGGGAAGACCGCCGTACGCAGAAGGCAGATTCACCCAGTTGTTCCACCGTTTTAGCGGATAATGTTCGCAGCACACCAGAACGGTTCGTTAGTAGAAAGAGAAATTCTACATTGTCGTGTTAGATGACATAATTGTGGGGACGCACGCACGCGTCTATTGTGACATGATGGTCGGTCTCCGCAGATATGTCATCACAGAGGCAATGTAGAAATTCCTCATTTCTCTAACTACAGCGCCTTCAGTTGTGTGGCTGCGCGACCCTATCTGCTTAAACGGGTGGAACAACTGGTGAGTCTGCTTATTGCGTCTACCACAACTGGCGTCTTCCCGAGGATTCCTGACCCTACGTCCGGAACCTCGGGAACCGCTAGATTCGACGAGGCGCTTGGTGGGGTAGGTTGCGAATCTAAAACTTGAAACATGTTCAGGCCTCTGAAGACGACGATTGAGGTCGAAACGTTAGGCCACTTAATAAATGTTCCACCTATCAAAGGTCGTAGGCACAGAGCCAATGACACGACTTAAAAGTTAAGATGGCACGAGGTTGCAAGAAGAGAGAAGCTGGAGAATGCACCGAATAGTGCTCAGCTAAGCTTGTGCATGCCTCCTTGTAAAGACCTGCAAATTCCTGTGACTAAATCTCTCGCAAAATTTCGCAGTTTCACAAGAGTTTAGCAGAAAAAATAAGAGCTGTTAGTTAAATGCCTCCTCCAAACCGAACAGTGCCTTCTTTAGCCGTCCAGGTTGTGGAATAACGCTGATCCAGTGACCCAACTTAGAAAGGATGAAGCAGTTTATCGAATGTGGATTCTGAGATAAAGCCGTCGGATAAATGATATAGGATGCAGACTGGCGCTACTGAAGTTGGTGGGTGCCAAGCGGCAGCGTGACGGAGAGATCTTCTCACCAGCTTTCTCAGGCTTATTAGTGCACAGACGACTGTAGACCGCGCGCACCCTCATCCTGGAGGGCGCAGTAAACCGGTAAACCTCGTTCTGCTGCCGAGTTGTCCGTCGTCCTGATGATCCAGCGAAAAGCTCGTAGCTAGCGAGGTTAGAAACAGAAGTGTATGTGTTAGTTGACTTGCTCGTGAGGAAAAAATAAGTCTAAAAACGCCCAAATAAGGCCCTACTTGTTCAAATTGAGTGACAAAGTATTGACGTGGATATTGGGCGGGGGGGGCCAGACAAAGCAGCTAGAGAGCATGCAAGGCAGCAGATAAGCAGAGCAGACATCTATCAACGCGTGCGGAGTCATTTGGGCAACATTGTGCTTTACTGCCGCTATCGTACTGCTTTCTGACGCGGAACATAGTGGGTTGTTCGTTGCAGTCCACATTACCTCTCTCTCTACGAGGAGCTTACTAGGGAAGGTCGTCAGGTCGAAGTGGCCATTTGTGATGAGATGTAGATCACTAGACGTGGTTTTGGACGCTGATCTTGAATCTTCAAAATTTGCAAAGCGATTCTCTGAACGGAGTTATGGAGCC